TATAAAGGAAGCAAAACATCTAGATCAAGGGACAGCCTCGTTAAATTTTAAAACAATGAGGACAAAAAAAAAAAAAAAAAAAAAAACAACCCTGCAATTTTGTGTATATAACTGTTTATTTTTAAGTCAGAAATGTTATCTTGTACTACATTTTTAAAAATTTATGTTTCGGTATGTTTCCTTCTGAGTCTCAATATGCATATGTTGGATTTCCTTCTCTGATTTCCATATCTATCATTTTCTAATTCACTTTAACATTTTCATTAATTTTGGTAAATTCTACTTGCTTTTTCCATTTCTAGACTCTGTCTCTTATTGTATCTTCCACAGTTCTCTATTATCTACGTGATCCTTTCAATTTCATCTTCATTTCAGTAAAGGTTTTATTTTCTAATTTCATTTATTTTTCTTTCCACTCAATCAGCTTACCTTGCATTTTCTCATGCAATCACTCTATTTCTTCCCTGGCCTCTTATATCAACTGCTTTGAGCTGCTAATGAAGTAAATACTTCATTAAGCTTTCTAAACTCATGGCAAAATGTTTGGTCACAATGTTCATCTTCTTTATGGCAATATTTTAGGTTACTGTTCTTCATTTGTCCTTCGTTTTTCTGTTTCTTTCTTCCTTTCTGATTTCCAAACATTTGTGGCAGTCAAGCTTAATGAATTCCTTTTGGTTATTCATCTTTGAAGAAGTGCTGGTTGTATGGAACCTGATATCTGTAAGAGGTTCATGCAGAAGGCCAGAGTGCCTCCAGTTCTGGACTGACAACCTTTTCGTGACTCAGAGATTTACCTAAGAGACAGTTTAGCGTTTTACTTCTCAACAGCCAGTGCAGACAGGCAGTCTGGAGGTTTTTCACAATGCAGTCATCTCCTCCCCAACTGCTATAGAGACAGACACATATTACTTCCTGCAAAAATGGTTTGTTTATGTGACTCCCCGTTTGGCTTTATTTCCCCGACTTCTTAGAATCAAACTAGGTGCAGGAAAGCTCCTGCCTTGAGCTGAAGAAACCCATTTCACTTTTGTAAACAAGGGGTTTAGGTTTTATATCTCAGGGGGGCCTTGCAGTTTCATGTTTCTTGCTGTCTCTGAGCTCCACAGCCATGGCATTCTATCTACTTCTTCCCACATGCAGCCAGCCTGATCGCCACTGCTCCTGGCAACAATTCCACCTATTTTGTGGCTTGCGGTTTTTAACTGTCTTCTAGTTTAGTGGAATGCTGGGTTTGTGTGTCAGTTTTTCCCTCTCTTTGTTGTTTTTAGCTAATTGCCAACAAAGAAAAATGCTAACTTTATAGTACCATCTGCAATTGCAAATCCAACAATTATCTTAAAAGAGTATTTTATACAAGACGGAAACTTAAGTGTCTCACTAAGTTACTAAAAGGTAACAATACACTTTCCTTACTACTATTTTACTGTGGGGTAAAACACCAATTTTCCATAAAACACTAATTTTCACAAGGTCATTAAGTAATTGTTTTTATTTTAAAAACTCATGTGTGGGCTGGGCGTGGTGGCTCACGCCTGTAATCCTAGCACTTTGGGAGGCTGAGGCAGGTGCATCGTTTGAGGTCAGGAGTTCAAGACCAGCCTGGCCAATATACTGAAATCCCATCTCTACTAAAAATATAAAAATTAGCAAGGCATGGTGGCACGCACCTGCAATCCCAGCTTCTTGGGAGGCTGAGGCAGGAGCATCACTTGAACCTGGGAGGCGGAGACTGCAGTGAGCTGAGATCAGGCACTACTGCACTCCGGCCTGGGCAACACAGAGAGACTCTCATCTCAAAAAAAAACAAAAACAAAAAATATATATATACACATATATATACATGTTATTACCTAAGGCAGAAAGTAATCTGATGCTTCAATGTAAAAGATACTTTGTTCAACATATTCAAGATCCAGGGCCTATTTGGGGAACAAATTATATATATTTTCACCAGCATACTATAATCTTAATATTTGTCTTTGCAGAAGACAAAGCCTTTTTAGTAATAAAGACAACCCATGATTTGGCATGCTACTAGTCCCCAAATTCCATTTGAGTTTGTAATGTAGACAGTTAATATTATATGTATGTTCATTCCTTCAGTAAAATTTTAACTTTAGGCAAGTTTATTTTTCTGCCAGTTGCTACTGCTCTCCTCCTGGCTAGCCATTACCAATATGTACTCAGACAGGTTTTGACCAAAATAAGGTTTTACTACTAAGTAATTTTTATAGGAGTAAATAATACACCAGTCTGGGCACAGTGGCTCATACCCATAATCTCAACACTTTGGGAGGCCCAAGGTGGGTGGATCACTTGAGGCCAGGAGTTCAAGACCAGCCTGGCCAACATAGCAAAACCCGTCTCTACTAAAAATACAATTAGCCAGGTGTGGTGGTGCATGCCTGTAGTCCTGGCTACTCAGGAAGCTGAGGCACCAGAATCACTTGAACAGAGAGGTAGAGGCTGCAGTGAGTCAAGGTTGTGCCACTTCATTCCAGCCTGAGCAACAGAGCAAGACTGTCTCAAAAAAAAAAATTAATTAATTAAATAATAATAATAAAGCCAAATTACAATGGATTTTGAATTAGTGTTTTAAATGATTCCCTTTCCTATGACACAAATAACAGTAAATCTGTAAATGTTAATATCATGCAAAAGCTAAGTAATGCCTAATTTATTGAAAATTTACAGGCACCATGAGTTCATATGAAGAAAAAGAAACAAACAAACATGAGCTCCTCCTGAGCTGGGCATGGTGGTGCATGGCTGTGGTTCCACCTACTTGGGAGGCTGAGGCAGGAGGATCGCTTGAGCCCAGGAGTCTGAGGCCAGCCTGGGCAACACAGCAAAACACTGCCTCATAAAAAAAGAAAAAAAAAAAAGAGCTCTTACTTACAGAATTCCAAACAAGATATGTAGACAGAGTGATGGCATTTTTTTAAAAATCCCCATTTGATAACAATCACAGTTGGAATGACAAGATCATATACTGTCCTTATCACTTGTCACAGGCAAGAATTATCAATGGATGCTACAACAAGAGGGCAAAAGGTGTAAGACGGAGGATACCTATATAGTCTCAATGTATCTCTCTACAATAAATATATATATTAGTTATGAAGGGAAAAATAATAACTTCACAGAGGAGTAAGCTGGCATATATCACCTTAAGTAACCAAAGTCCCACCACTAGTAAATGGGATAAATAGACACAATGTGCCTCCTGACACTATGCTCTGGAAAACACTTCTGTGGAATTCCTGCCAAAACTGCATAATCTGAATCTAACTGTAAGGACACACCAGACATACACAAATTGAGAGACATTCTACAAAATAATTATTTACTCTTCAAAAATGTCAAGGCCCTGAAAAGGCAAATAAAGACTGATGAATTGTTGATTAAAAGAGGCTGAAGAGGCTCGACACGGTGGCTCAAAGCTGTAATCCCAGTACTTTGGGAGGCTGAGATGGGTAGATCACTTGAGGTCAGGAGCTCGAGACCAGGTTGGCCAACATGGCAAACCCTGTCTCTACCAAAAATACAAAGAAAAATTAGCCAGGCATGGTGGCATGCGCCTGTAGTCCCAGCTACTCAGGTGGTTGAGGCAGGAGGATCACTGGAACCTGGAAAGTGGAGGTTGCACTGAGCTGAGATGGTGCCACTGCACTCCAGCCTGAGCGACAGAGCAAGACTTTGTCTCAAAAATAAATTAATTCTTTAATTAAATGAAATAAAAGAGACTAAAGAGAAATAACTAAGTTCAACATATGATCCTGGACCCGAAACAATTATTTGTCTTTTGCTATATGAGACATTAATGGAACAACTGATAAAATCTGTGAATAGACAATAAAATGTATCTATGTTCATTTAAGAAATACACATTAAAATATGCAGACATTGAAGACATCATGTCTACAAACTACTCTCAATTCATTTTTTTAAAAAAGAATACTGTGTGTATGTAGAGAGAGAATGATAAAGCAAATGTGACAAACATTAACATTTAGAGTAATTTAATAGGATACACATGAATTATTTGTGCTATTTTTACAAATCTGTGGTCTGAAATTGTTTCACAATAAAATTTTAAAAATAGACACACAATAAATGAAAACAAATAAAGGCAGTTAAGAAAAACTCTTTATTTTCCCTGACAATAATGCTAGGATCATCTTTACTATATTCTCCTCATCAGATCATGAAATTTTAAAGCTGGAAAAAAAAGTATTCTCTCTCCCCAAATCCTTCCAATTTACAGATGAAGTTAGTAAGTCAAGTGACTTCATCAAGATTACACATAATTCAAGGCAAAGCCAACCAAGACTATTATCTAGCTCTGACTCAGCTCAGCTACCTTTCAACTATTCCAAGTGGTCTCTTCATCCCTTTACGTTGCCTACAGTCTAAACACATGATACCAAAATACTTATCTCTATCTTCTCATATATTCTCATAAGTTAGTGTGACTAACCACTTTCAGGCAATCTAAATTTTATCCTTAAAAGGCATTTAAGTATCATTGCTCCTAACAATCCTTAATAACTAGTATCAATATATATGTAAAGATAAGAATACATGTCAAACACTGTAGCAAATGCTGAACATACAAAATTAACACACTCTGTTAGGTCCATAATGACGGAGACCAAGTTTCCCTGGCATACAATAAGTATTCAAATATAACTGTTGTATATTACAAAATAAAAGACAATCCAAAGTATAGGAAAGAAATGTGTGTACAGAAAATTACATTAGCAGTTTTAATAAAGTGCCATGAGACAACAGATAAGGAAGTTATTTTCTCTTGGTAAGATTTAGAAAAGCTTCAGAGATTTAATGATACCAAAATAAGTCTTGAAGGACAAATAAGATTTCAACAAACATGGAGGCAGTGGGGTGGTGAGAAGAAGGTAGAAGGATTTAGATTAAAAAGGCCAAAGGCAAGAAAATACTGGCCATTTCTATAGAATTTTTAAACACAGGCTTACCTATTGTTGCTGCAAGTTCTGGATCAAATGTATCATCTGTGAACCTCAAGAGCAGACTGAAAGAGATATTAAAAAGACAGGTTGGGAACTTGAATTTTCTCATCATATGATAAATGTGTTCATGACTATTTGGTCACACATTATTAGATGCAGATAATAAATGATGTAGGCCTTCTCTTAGAGCAGGTATACACAGAAAAATTAAATTACTAGAGCAGGTATACACAGAAAAATTAAATTACTAGAAAGGCAATTCAAAAATCCCAAGAGCAAAGCAGTTTACTATTAAATATATTCCCCACGGTCTCCTACACAATCCCCCAAGTACAAAACGTGGGGGTTTTTGTTGTTGTTGTTGTTGTTTAACTGTTCTGGTATGTCCTTCTGAGAAAAATGATACTAACAGCATGTCATGCTTTAACTGACATAGATGAAAAGGGAAAAAATAAAGTCCCTTAGAATGCAACAAACTAGCTTTTAAAAATCTGATTGTGTAATCCACTCTGAATTCAAGCAAAACCAGAAACATATCAAAGCCGAGCATTCTGTAACACGCAGTATGGCTACTACCTAAGAGAAGATATAGTAAAAAGAGAGGTAAAAAGAAAGATCACACGACAGAGTAGGTAGACTCGGGCAAACACCTGGTAGAGTGTATAAAACCAAGTAGGCAACTGGAGGCTACTGGAGGCTTTTAAAGAAGTTATGACAAATACTGCTCTTTGTTTTAAAATGTTAATACTAACAAAAAATAGAAGAAAATCAACGGAAGACAACTGCCAAGGTTATGGCAAGAGAGAACGAAGGACTAAACCTAGGAAATGATAAGAAACCAGAAAGGAGGGATAAAAGATAAAGACGCCTAGGGATAAAAAGGGATAAAAAGCTAAAGATGCCAGATTAGAAGGGTACTCTAAGATTTTACATCTTCCAGAATTATTTTACTTACTACGAAGCAGAAGTGTCAGTTATTAGAAGCTCTTCAAAAATGAAATCTAAGCTTTTGTTAAAGCCCTTGATTTTAAAGTCATTCAACCTTCCCTCATGTTAACTTCTGAAGTATAAGACTATCCTAATTGACCTGTTTGCATGAATAAAATCAAAGAAACAGCCATCAGGTATCTAAATTATAGAAAAATCTTATGACTTTCTATAGGTTGTGATTATTGCTGGTAGAGGTATGTTTTGTCCATAGAGTTTTTGCAAAATATAATGGCCTCCTGGTAGTTTCCAAACCCACTGTCATTAATTATATTTGAAGGATTAACTCTCCCTTACTGGTTTTGTTTTCTTGTGTTTACCATAAAACCAGCATCACAAAATCAAAGTAAAACAGAAGAGTCAAATTCTAGATTTATCCACCTAACATCTTGACTATATTTACTTACTTGGAACGTAGGTAACAATACTAGTAAGACTCTTAAAGACTACCTATAAAATTTTTCTTTTCTCCCAACATACTCAGTTAACCATAATTTAAGAAAAGATACATAATATCTACATGTGGTCACCACAGAAAATATTACTACAAAAACTTAAGTTAACATTACCTTGTAGACTAGTTGTAATAATATCATAATAATACAATAATGATGATATTGGGTATTATTTACTGAACACATGGCAATGTGCAGACACAAAGTCAGAGGTTTTTCTCTCATAATTGCTAATCCTTAAAACGCCTTTGTTATTAACAGTACTTCATCAGGAGAGGCAGAGAACTGGTGGCATGGTGTGAAGCAACAAATTTTAATACAGGCTCAGGGTATACATCAGATCTTAGACAGGGGTACCCTGGTAGCCCAAAAAGTATTCTAAATTCTATGTATGTCTTTTTCTAGGCAGAGAGTCCATTTCTCTATTAGACTTTGAAAGGGGAAGAGAGTTCATTTCTCTATTAGATATTGAGAGGAACTGACAATCTCAAAATAATTAAGAACCCTTTTTTTTTTTTTTTTTTAGAGACAGGGTCTCACTCTGTCACCCAGGCTGGAATGCAGTAGCACAACTGCAGCTCACTAATCCTCCCACCTTAGACCCCCAAGTAACTGGCACGACAGGTGTGCATCACCACGGCTGGCTTATTTTTTTATTTTTATTTTTTTAGAGGCATGGTCTCGTTATGTTGCCCAAGCTGGTCTCGAACTCCTGGCCTCAAGAGATCCTCCTGTCTCAGCCTCCTGAGTAGCTAGGATTATAGAATGAGCCACTGCACCTGGCAGAAGCACCATTCTTATAGTATTGTATATTTACACACTCATATTTTCAAAGTTAAAAGAGCAAAATGTTTCCCATGCAGAAGTAGAGATGGAAGGAGTAACTATCGCCATGGCACTTAGGTGCGACCAAATTTATAATAAACAGTGTGATTATGACTAATCTGCATTTTTTAAATTTACAAATGAAATTCACCAAAAAAAAAAACAAAATGGGAAGGCAAGGGGCATAGGAGGGACAGCAATTTAGATAATAGGTCTCTCTAATCCCTTTCAGTTCTCAATACGTTCTGCTACTCTTTCCCTCACCAGGCCTAGCCACAGAATCCTAGTCTTATACATTTAGGGTCTGAGAGGTTTCTATTCCAACCCCCTCACTTTTGAAATGAAGGCCTACAGCATTCAAGTATTACACACAAGGTCACACAAGTGGCAGCCCCAGTTTCATAATCGTGATCTCCTGACTACTATCACATACCCTTTAGACTCTCACACTATGAAATACACTAGAAAGTAATCCACTAATTCGGATTAAACATATCCTTTGTTTTCCCCCAACAACACAAGTGCTATCTCACTTCCACTAGCTCCAGCTCTGTAATGAAACAGAAACCAACTTGGTTAAAACAATCCTTTAAGATCATATCCACGACAAACGTTTTTGTACTAATTCACTTTAAAAGGCATAGCCTTCTATTTTGGTAGAGTCATTTATTCTCATCTTATCCAGAAACATAAGTGTTCAAGATTGCTTTCCATAGCATATCACATAGGCAAATAATGTATATCCAGCTAGACAAATAAGACAACTTTCTCACTATATGTAATCCTTTCACAAAAGAAACAAAGTGTCAAAATCTTGCTGGGAGCAGTTGATAATCCATTGCCACGTATTGAGGAAAAAGTTTAAAACAGATTAGGCCCATGGTAAATGTGTTTCGGTGACATGAACTAGGGAGACTGATAAATCCACTTAACAGGCCTTACTCTACAAGGAGAACCTTGGTTGGGTGTCATGGCTCGTGTCTGTAATCCCAGCAATTTAGGAGTATGAGGCAGGAGGTTGGCTTGAGCCCGTGTGCTTGAGACCAGCCTGGGCAACATAGGAAAATCCCATCTATGAAAAAAATTTTAGAAGTAGGGCCGGTTGTGGTGGCTCATGCCTATGTTCCTAGCACTTTGGGAGGTCAAGGCAGGAGAATCTGTTGAGCTCAGGAGTTCGAGACCAGCCTGGGCAACACAGTGAGTCCTCCTCTCTATAAAAAATAAAAAACGCTAGTCAGGCATGGTGACTTGTGCCTATAGTCCAGCTACTCAGAAGGCTGAGGTGGGAGGATCACTTGAGCCCAGGAGATTGAGACTGCAGTGAGCTATGATCATGCCACTGCACTCCAGTCTGGGTGACAGAACAAGACCCTGTCTCAAAAAAACAGCTGGTAGAGCAGAGGCGTTTTGTTTATATACTCCAGTTAACCTTCCAGAAAATTTCAACACGCCCTAACTTGTCATCCATGCAATACATTTAGAAAAAGTGCTAACAGACCATGTATTGGGTTGAACTACATGAAATGACAATCAACCATTCCTGACTTCAAAAACACTCATTTCATATGACTGAACTTAAATGAGAACCATGTCTCAAGGAAAAAAGGAGAAAAGAAAAAGAAAGATCACAAGGCTATGAAATTCCTATTAAGACAATGTTTACATTAACTTTTTAACCCTCAAATATGCATGTGCAATAATAGATGATCACGTAAATAATTTTACTCATCCCTTTTACACACACACAGACAAATCATGCTGGTTTGCTAATTCATAGTATTTCATTATTCTATTCCTTGGTATGTGCAAATCCTTCATTCCAGTAGACACAGAGTACATTACATGAGGAACACTATGAAAACGTGTTGTCAAACTGGTGGCTCATGCCAGTAATCCTAGCACTTTGGGAAGCCGAGGTGGGCGGATCACAAGGTCAAGATCGAGACCATAGCCTGGCCAACATGGTGAAAATCCATCTCTACGAAAAGTACAAAGTTAACTAGGCATAATGGTGCCCGCCTGTAGTCCAAGCTACTGGGGAGGCCTATAGTCCAGAATCGCTTGAACCCAGGAGGCGGAGGCTGCAGTGACCCGAGATGGCGCCACTGCACTCCAGCCTGGCAATAGAGCGAGACTCCGTCTCAATAAATAAATAAATAAATAATATCAGAATATATTACATAAGTTTTCACATTCTGAAGAAGCTTTTAAAAAGTAAGACTTTACGAAGTGACTTTTACAAGTTATTTGAGGAGAGCTTTCATTCTAGCTTGTAGAATGAAGGCTACTTCAATTTATGAAATATAAAAAATCATTTGAAAGATATGTGTATCAGAAGGTATAGCTAAAATATGAAACTGATTACAGCCCCCGGAGTGTAAATGCGGTTTAAGGATCAGGACGGCCTTGAACATAACCTACTCATAATCAGATGGCAAGAATGACCACCTGGAGAACTCTGTTCCAAGACCTGGATGAAATCACAACCCTCTAGCAACATCCACCTAGATCCATGTCTTACCTTATACTCAACTCCACTGTCAATATTATTTTCCCCAAGGAAAAAAGTCAAAAATGAAAAGACAACACTAATCTTCTGTCTCCATAGGATGTGGGAAAATGAGAAATAACAACTACATTTTATTTTCAAAGGTGACCCACGGCTGAAGCACTCAGACCTTACACTAAAGCGAAATTTTCCAGCAGTCACAAGATCCAGGAGTTCTTCCACAGCCGACTAATAAAAAAGTAAAAGAAGCGACATTAAGCTGCGCCCAAACAGGCCAGGAATGGGACCTAAGGCGTCACGAAACTTCCCGAGGACATTATGTATTTAGAGAAGGCCCCACAGAAACCCTCAAGTGGGAAAGTTATGTCTCCCGGGTCTCGGGGTGACAGGCAGCCTGAACCCCGAAGAGTTCGAGGCAAGACGCCCCCCGGCCAGATTCGGGCCCAAACCAACCCGCCACGCCCTGAGCTCCGCGCAGCAAACCGGCCGGCGGAGCGGCGGCCCTCCGAATGGTGTTTTCTCGGCGCCACAGGAGAGAGAGCGACTCAGAGAACTTGGGCCTGGCAGAGGCCGGGAACCAGCCGCGCGGGTGGGGCGAGGGGAGGAGAAGCCGCGGGAGAGCGCAGCCCAGAGGCCGAGGAGGGCGCAAGTGGAGCCGGCCCGAGCCCGGCCCGCGCCCGCCGCCGCAGTATGCAGTTCCCGTCGCGGCCCAGGAGACAGCAGCCACCGGGACAGAAAGAGCCCAGTCACCCTCGTCACGACCCGCACGCCCGCCTCACCTGGACTTGCCCACCCCACTCTCGCCGATGATGAGGATCTTCAGGGTCGTCAGCACGTCCTCGTCCATCCTGACCCCGCTCCGCTCCGACCCCAGCTGGCCGCCCCGGTGCGCCTCTCAGCCCTTCAGCAGAGTGAGCTGCTGCGCATGCGCATCGCTCCACGGCTGCCACCTTCCTTTCACACCGGGTGTTCAGGCTGCCGAAGCCCTGGACGCCCCAGTTCCGCCTTGAGGTAGCTCCACGGCTGCGCAACCCAGAATCCCCGGCGTTTTTCCGGACTGCGTGTTCCTCCCCTGCGCAAGCGCAGGTGGGGAGAGCTGTGTGTCACTTCATTGGCTTCTTTATGAGGTCTAGCTCCGCCCCAACCTCAACCTAACCCTCCTGTCGAGTCAGTGGGAGGACTGTCAGGAGAGTATCAAGCTGTTTTATTTCAGCAGCTGCTCATAACAGCTGCACTGCGGTGGGTAAAGCACTGTGCTTGAAGCAGATTATCTTAAATTTAGGTCTACCTCTACCTTATAACTGCCTGTCATACTACCCGGCTTTCTGAGCCTTTCTTCATCTCTGAGAGACACAGTAACACTTCTTAGAACATCTGCTTCTTATTGTTATGAAGGTTAAATGAGTTAACTTGTGAAGACATTTTTTTTTTTTTTTTTTTTTTGAGACGGAGTCTCGCTCTGTCGCCCAGGCTGGAGTGCAGTGGCCGGATCTCAGCTCACTGCAAGCTCGGCCTCCCGGGTTCACGCCATTCTCCTGCCTCAGCCTCCCGAGTAGCTGGGACTACAGGCGCCTGCCACCTCGCCCGGCTAGGTTTTTTTTGTATTTTTTAGTAGAGACGGAGTTTCACCGTGTTAGCCAGGATGGTCTCGATCTCCTGACCTCGTGATCCACCCATCTCAGCCTCCCAAAGTGCTGGGATTACAGGCTTGAGCCACCGCGCCTGGCGTGAAGACATATTGTTAACCAAAGCGCTCTATAAAAGGTGTGATCAGGTATTAACTTGCTGGCTTCCCCTCTGTTAGAGTGGAGAGCACCCTCCACACTCTAATTCATCTTGAAATGGAGGCCTAGACTTCAGGTAGGTCAAGTGCATTACTTCTGGCGGTGCAACTTCAAGCCAACTCTTCTCATAAGAACTGCTACACCCACACTGCAGGAAGTGTATGTCTACACCTTGCCTCCTGCATTAAGTTGTAAATCTTAGTGAAGACACCAAACCTCATTCATAATACTTAGCACAGTGCCTGGTACATGGCAGGCACTCAATAAACCTCAGTTCTCTTGTCTGATTTCCTTGTACCTGCAGCTAATGTCATATACAATAATATTTGATTAAAGACTACATATAAATAAAATTTCAAATGTTAAGAAATTAATTTATTAAATAGCTGGAAAAGCCCTTTCAAAAGATATCTAAATGGCTTCACCTCCTTCAGGTCTTTGCTCAACTGTTGCATTCTTAAAGAGGCCTTCCCTGTCCATTCTACTGAAATATGCAAATCCCTCCAGCATTCTCTAGACCTCTTTACATTGTTTTTTCTGCATAGGACTTAACCACTCTCTGATACACTATATATTTTACTACTTTATTAGAAGTCTCATGAAGGCAAGGATTTTTTATTTTGTCTACTGGTATGTCTTCAGTATCTAGAGTACTTCCTGGCACATAATGTGTGCGAAATAAATGTATCCTGAATGAATTAATCGAATGAATGTTGTAGAGTCCATTCCTAACCTTAGAGAATAATGTCAATGAAACAACCTCCCCTTCTCATCAAATAGCCCTTGAAATTTCAGTCAAGTCTATCTAGCTTACTTTTCATCACGACAAAAAGACCTTATTTATGAGGTTCACAGTATTGTCAAGCTGTCCTGCCGTGGGGTCCCCAGATCCCTAGAAATTCCTGAAAACCTTTCAGGGGGTTGCAAGATCAAACTATTTTCATAGTTAATATTTTTTATGCACATTCTCTAATGATAATATAATGGAGTTTTCCAAAGGCTATATACTAATAACATGTAATAGCAAAACAGATTGAAGGCAGAACAAGATATGTGAACTTAATGGTTTTCTATTATATTAAGCCAGATATTAAAGGGATTTCCTAAAATGTAAAACATTGCCACTGTTCTCAATTTTTTTGTTTTGGTTATTTTCATAAATATTTCTATTAACTGGTAATAGGTTTATTATTGTTTTTACGTAAATTAACATGTTTAAAATTTTCTCAGCTTTAATTTCTAGTAGGATAAATAAGAGATGTAATCTCTTTGGGGTTCTTATAATCAAAAGCTCTTTCAGGTCTTCAATAGTTTGTAAGATATACAATAATTTGTACAACCAAAAAGTTTGAGAACCATTGCACGGTACTATTCACACCAAGATAAATACAAAAACAAAAACTTCATCAATAAATCCAGGGCGATCTCTTGCAACCTGTAATACTGTTGACAGACTTTGGCAATATCATTTTCTCTTGGATTTCCTCCATCTTTTGGCCATTTTCTCTCTTTCTTTTACTTTTCTTTTCTTTTCTTTTTTCTTTTTTTCTTTTTTTTTTTTTTTTTAAGAGATGGGATAGTGCTATGCTGCCCAGGGTGGTCTCTAACTTCTGGGCTCAAGAAGTAATCCTCCTATCTCAGCCTTTGAGTAGCTGGAACTGCAGGCATGCATCACCACGCCTAACTAATTTCTTTAAAAGTTTTTTAGAGATGGAGTCTTGCTATGTTGCTGGTCTCAAACTGCTGGGCTCAAGCAATCCCCCTGCCTCAGCCTCCTGAATTACTGAAATTACAGGCATGCACCACCTCTTGGTTATTTCTCGGTTTGTTTTTTTTTCTGTGATCTTCTTGCTCATTTTTTAAACAATTTTGTCTTTAGGATTTTAGCCTGGTTTTATCTTCTTGCTCTACTTACACTGTCCCCGGTTGCCTTCTTGGCTTCTTCATCCCCAAATGTATATCTCTGGCTGAGATTTTTCTCCTGAGGTTCAGGCCAACATACACAACTGCCAAGACATCCCTACATGGGGGTTGGCAATAAACAGATGTATGTAAAAGACATAAGGAATAATTGTCCCATACTTAGTGAAGGAGAGGGAAAAAAAGGGAAAGAAAAACATCAAACATTTCTCCAAATGTTTCAAGCCTCAGCACTACCAATCCAAGAGAAAACCCAAGATAGAAACAAGAAGGAATATGAGCTTCGTTTCAGCCATAGTGAATTTTATGTAAAGGTGAACCTTGAAGGCAAAATTTTTCAGAACTCTTTTAGAGCAGTGGTTCCAAGATTCAGGGCAGATAGCAAGACACTAAAAAAATGAACCAAGGAGATGGCATTCCTAACCAACAATTTGGCCTAGGTGTTCTGTTCTATATGGTATTATCCTTACATCCCTGGAAAACAGCCAAATCCTTTCTTAGGTTTCAGACATACCTGACTGCCCTTTCCCCTGTGGATCCATCTTCTCGTATTAATTATTTTTACCATACTCCAAATATATGATCACCTCATAAAGAAATGTCTATGGCAATATTCTTAAGACCTGAAGTTTGGGATGAGCAATGAGCAAGCCCAGTACATAGGAAGAAATTGAAATGGCGATACCACTTGGAGATGTGATGGAGAAGGCCCATCACATGTTGCTGTCAGTAACATTCCTACAGCGGGCAGCCCCAGAGATAGACAACAGATGACAGATAAAAAGAGATTCAGGCCATTGACTTTTCTCCACCCTTAGTAATCGCATCAGTAATGAAGAGAAGAGAAATGCTGCTTGGAGAACTCACATTCTGTGAACAGGTACCAGCATGAGCACTGTGACTCATGGCTTATGTAGGACTGCTTGGGTCCAAGTGTAACAGGCGTCTGTGGCTGCAGTTTAGGAGTTTAGTGAGCGAAGTCATACAGCATTGCCACCTCCGCCCCCAGCTCCATTGTCCCTGGCTGAGCTAAGGTTCCAAAACTACCCTTACCCTCTCCAGGTACTGCTTCTCCTTGCCTGGGTTGGTATGCACAGGAGCTTTGGTATGCAGTCACGGAAGAGTTTACCTTTTGTTGTTGTTGTTGTTGTTGTTGTTGTTGTTGTTGTTGTTAGAGATAGGGTCTCACTATGTTTCCCAGGCTGGACTCTAAACTCCTGGGCTCAAAAGATCCTCTTTTCTTAGCCACCCAAGTGATTGGGACTTCAGGCACATTTCACCATACCTGGTTTAAAGAGGAGTTCATTTCATTGTTTAATTATTTGGGTGAAGACTTGGGGATTAGAGAGAGGGGTTAGAAGTAAAGTCTGTGGAAGAGGTAGCTGAAATGTCATTTTGACCACTTGGGTGGGGTTTTAGCCCTATGATTAGAAGGGTCAGGGTCAAAAGCTGGAGTAGCTGCTTTAGGCTTGCAGGCTGACACAAGCAGCGCTGTCTGAGGGTCCATGGGACAGGATAGCTGGGGCTGAGAAGAAGGTCATTGCACTGTTTTTTCCATTTGACCCCAGACCCTTTTCCAACCTTCTCTGTTACAATCTGTATAATATCACCTTCTACCAAGGAACTTATTTTACAGCAGAAGTGTGGTTGTGGGTTCAGGCATGCCCTTGGACTTCACTGGTGTTATCACCAGACCCCACCTCAGGAAGCAGCTACTATGATAGACAATGGGATGGTCCAATGCCCACTCAGTTACAGTGCCAGCAGGGAGATAATATTCTGTCAGGTTGCACTGCTGCTCTACAGGATGTAGTAAAAACTTTAAACTTGCAACCTACAAATGATGCTGTTTTCCTAATAAAATTCAGAGTCGATGAGGAGTATCTGACCTCCTGGGTCTATATTACATGTTCCTCTTATGTGACTCCCCAAGCTGACCCCAGCACTCAGTGGGCTATGGTAACACTATTTTCTGCCTTTGCTTCCTCAGATCTAGGGTGGAAAAGGCTGCCTACCGAAGTTAATCTCTAGGTTCCTCTTTTCCTGGTGCCCTAACCTGACCATGCTGCTGTAAACAGTCTTTTGGTTATACTCCATACTCTCTTGAGACATCTGAGTTAGATTTTGTTTCATGCTGGGACCCTGACTAGCCATTCTATTCATTTACTCATTGACCTGAGCACCCAAAGCTCACTTCCTTGGAAGAATTAAGAGACAGCATCTTCGGCACAAACAGTGTTT